GTCCTGCTACTTAACCATAGATGTGTGGGGGAGAAGAAGAAGAGGATTCATATTAGAACGTAAGTGAATGTTAATGGATTCGAATGGAATTCGAACTCGGCTCACTGATTCTTCAATCCAAGTCGCTAATCATTACTCCAACGCAAAGTGTGTATAAAAAAAAGAAGAGTATGTATAAATGTTTTTTTCAGTTTGGCCATTGCATATAGTGTCACCTTTACCTGATTTAAATTCTAATTCCAGCAATTTAAAAACACTGGAATTTGTCAAACATTTGCTTAACATAATGATCACTTAAAAATCTTGACAACAGCTTTAGTAACAGTCGAAAGTACTCGAATGTATAAAAATTAACTTTGGACAGTTTAATATTTTTGATCCTGATGTAAAACACCCCAGTCAACAGTTGGAAAAAAACTATATAAAAGTTAAATGGACACATATTGCTGGTGTTATTTAATAAAACTGTTTGGATATATATGTATGTATGTATGTATGTATTATTGAAGTAGATATAATAATGTGGAGATTTTTTTTTTTTCGTGGGACGCGTTTCGTCCTTTACGACTTCATCGGTCTAAAGTGATGTTTACGCTTAGGGGACGCCGTTCTTCTTTTTTTTTTTAATTTAAAAAATGATATTTTCCACTTTGTCATATATTTTCCTAAAATGTTTCTGATATATAAAGATTTATATATGGTTTTCCCATATAATAATAACGGTCGGCATGGACACCGAGTCATTTTATCAATCACACATCGTCACTTTCTTTGAGAATCTTTCCTATTTAAAGACACGAAGAGTTGATTGCGGAAGTTACGAAACTCGGAGTCGACATCGATAAGTTTTAAACGTTATGAAATCTAATTCAATATTATTCTCGTCAAATACTGAGCACTTTCTTAGCTTGTTTGTTTGATTGTTTAACGGTATATCAACTTATAGATAATTTAATTCCGAAATTTTATTTTTTAGTGAACATGCTGCTAATATTTTTTACATTTACCTTACAAAAATCTATTGCTGGTAATATTTTTTACATTTACTTTACAAAAATCTATTACTGGTAATATTTTTTACATTTACCTTACAAAAATCTATTACTGGTAATATATTTTACATTTACCTCACAAAAATCTATTACTGGTAATATTTTTTATATTTAGCTTACAAAAATCTATTACTGGTAATATATTTTACATTTACCTCACAAAAATCTATTACTGGTAATATTTTTTATATTTACCTTACAAAAATCTATTGCTGGTAATATTTTTTACATTTAACTTATAAAAATCTATTGCTGGTAATATTTTTTACATTTATCTTACAAAAATCTATTACTGGTAATATTTTTTATATTTACCTTACAAAAATCTATTGCTGGTAATATTTTTTACATTTACCTTACAAAAATCTATTACTGGTAATATTTTTCTTTCAGCTTACAAAAATCAATTGCTGGTAATATTTCAAAAAAATATTTACAAAACTTAATGCTGGAATTTTTTTTACTAAATGTATTGCTGGCACCTTCATTATAAAAATGTATTTCTACACTTTCATAGTATTTTGATCCCAGTTTGAGGGCTTACTATTTGAGCATAGCTGGGACTCTAACAGGTGCTACTATACAGGGTCAGTATGGAGAACAGCAATTATAGGTGATCCCACACTCATCAAAACCTCCTGATCAGAGGCCTTGCTGCAGGTTGAAGTTTATCGTCATACCCAGGATGAACTTTATTAGCAGAAATTTTGTTGACTTTGATATAAGTTAGTCTAGATTATTTTACGTATATTAATTGTTAGCATTAATAGTTAGCATAATAATTATGATATGTGTGTGTGTTTGTGTGTGTGTAAAAAGAGAGAAGAAGTGGCAGAAGGATTTCTATTTTTCACGCTGTTGGCTTTTTAGACCATTAGTGGTTATTTCTTCAATCTCCACCCACCATTTCCTCTCCGCCTTAACCATTCGATTCGATGGCCGCACTCCTGGCCAACGAACTAAATTATTTCATTGCAACATCCGTTCCAATCGTGTTAAATTGTGTGAATGTAACGACTTTCGCGCCAGAAGATGTCGCATTCTTATAGGACAACACAAACGGTTTAGTCATCGCTGTTTTTCGAGATCAAAAAACAAAGAGATTTCGTTTAGTCAGGTTGTTCCTTTTCCTTTTTTTACGTTTTTACCTGGTCGTATATGGTATTTACCGCATAAATCTTTCACAATACAAGCCTTTAAGCAACTCCATTAAGGAACATTAACGATTTCGACATATTAAGACATCTGTGGCCCGAATACTGAATTTAACTGGCATCTATATCCATTCTCTGGTTCATCTATCTATCTATCTATCTATCTATCTATCTATGTATAGTCTATCTATCTATCTATCTATCTATCTATATATATATATATATATATATATATATATATATATCTATCTATCTATCTATCTATCTATCTATATATATATATATATATAGTCACCCAGCTCATCAGTGTGGTAGACATGCGATTGTTTCAAGCCGGGATCGAAACCTGACCGATTTGGCATCAGTCATAGATTCTATCCCCAAGCTATCGTCGCACGATGTATATTTCTTTCACCCCATGCAAGGCGGACAGCCATTACCACGCAGGGGATAAAGTGAGAGAAAAAATGGCTATGGGGTATTTGGGAAAGGGTAAAAGATGAACGGGGTTCAAAATAAGAGAAAATAGCAATTGACGTTGTATTTAAATTTTTGAAGATTGGAGTTATCAGGGAAGCAAGTAAGAGGAAGAGATTTCTGCTGTCAAGAAGTGCAAGAAAAGAAACTGTTGGAGTAGAAGTGTGGGATCTAGATGCCAGTCGAGTACCAGGCTTAAATTCATGTAGTTTTCCCAAGGGTAAAAGCTTGTCAGAGCAGTTGCCATTAAAATATTTGTAGAACAGACAGAGGGAAGCCGCACCACGTCTGTGAGAACGTGACTGAATTTGAGATGCTAAGTCGGGATTGATTACATTGCAGATCCTTCTTTGTATGTTCCCAAGAGCCTGGAGATAAACAGCAGGGGTACCAGTAATTCAATGCCCGGTGGAATAGCAGATTTGTAAATATGGAAGATGAACTCTAACGAGAAAAACATTTTGGCACGACAAAATGAACAAACTTTCCTTGCAGTAGATGCAGCTATCGATTCAATATAGTTGTTCCACTTCAAGTCATTTGCAAACGTGAGGCCAAGATGGCGCAGTGAAAACGCTCTACTGAAGTGGAGCATCAGCCATGCTGATAGCGGGCGAGGAGGTGT